AAGTGCCATCTTAGGAATCCGTGCCACTCAAATTCCAATCCCCCAACTCAATGGACTCAGAACTAGGCCCACTTGACCCATAATGAATGATCGGCTTGGCTGAGTCGGATTACACGAGGTCACCCCCGTTAGTTAGTGGAACACGCAGGCGCTCCTGTTATGCTTAGGTCTAGGATCATTGCAACCCTGCGGTGTGGACACATGGACAGCGTTTATACCCTTCATGATTGTCCTACTTCAGCTGTACTCGTAGGTCCTATCAGGATGGCCGTCCGTTTTAATTCATGGTTGTGTAACAGCAAATAGCCGTAATAAGATAACGACGCATTGCAATTTTCGATTCAGATGCGCGTTGTCGTTGGCTGGCTTGCCGAACTACCTCCTCGTGGTGCCAGCTGGGTGGTTCGGTTGTACCCTGTTCCAGCGAAGTGCTCGGCGACAATGTTCCACCTCGGTGGGGCATTGTATTCCAGCAATTGTGCTGATTTCATGGTGAGTGTTTGGTGATCTACCAAACAAAGACGCATGAACTTAACATCCAGTCAGCGCGCCCCAATGGGCGCGATTCCCTAAATTCGCCCCGCTGCCTTGCGAGTAGGTTATTTAGCCAAAGGCTCGGGGTGGAGTCCCCTAAGTCAACTCCCTACTTCGGCTTGGGCAACCGAGTAGTATCACGCCCTCTCACAAAACCATGGACTGTACTACAACGTGCTCATTAGCTATTGTTTTTCACATTCACCCGACAATTGTTCGTTTGCTAACAATCCTCACTTTCCGTTACCCGATTCATGTGTTCAACAATCTGGCCGCGATTCCGGTTGCGCCGCAGATCAAGGAGTTCAACCTATGGCTCTCCTTCGTCCCCGATCCTCGTTCCGTTTTACGTGCTTCAACGTTCGGACACTTTTACAGAATGGACAGCAAGCCGGTCTAGCGAGCACCCTCGAGTCCCTAGACATTGATGTCCGCTGCCTTTTAGAAATCCGGTTGCAAGAACCCCAGCACTGTGCTTACATTGACATCCCCCACTGACCACGAAGCCAGATATCACCTGCGTGTTTCTGGAAATCCAGAAGCAGCCTCATCGGGTTTGGCTGGTATAGGTATAGCACTAAGTGACTAGGCTGAGGCGGCACTACTGGACTGAATCTCGATTAACGACCGACTATGTGCAGTTCGGCTTCGGGGCTCATGTAGAATCAACAAGCGCTGCGAAGAGAGACGCAACTTGTTTGTGATCTCCGTGTACGCTCCAACTGACTGCAGTGGCAACTCGGTCAAGGACGAATTCTACCGGGATCTACATCAGCACTTGACTAATGCTAAAGTCGGATGCCGTTATCATTACTGGGGATTTTAATGCACGGGTTGGCCGCCTGTTATCATACGAACGCCACCTTGGTGGTCATCACGCGCTCGGTGAGAACCGCTCTGATAACGGAGAGAGGCTTCTCACATTGTGCGAAGACAACAATCTGTTTCTCCCGAGCACTAACTTCATTCGCACGAAGAAGCGTTCGGCAACGTGGCGTTCCACCTCACCAACACATCCGTGGTCTCAAATTGATCACATTGCAATTGGCTTCAGATGGCGCGCCAGCGTACTAGACTGCAGGTCCTTCTGGTCCACCTTCGTTGACTCAGATCATGTACTGGTCTGCGCGAAAATCTGTATGTGTTTTGGGAGGTCCCGAAACACGAAGCACCGCAAGATTGCTGTAAACAGATTAATTGATTGCTCCGTCCAGGCGAGCTATCAGTCTTCACTGGCATACGCAGTCAGTTGCAATCCGCTGCAGGATGTGGAGCAACACTGGACTTGTATACGGAAAGCGATGACCATTTCTGGACAGTCATGCTGCGGCCTAACTCGACGCCCATAAAGGCTTGGATCTCTGCTCGTTCTCTGGAGCTGTTCGAACGCCGCGAAGACATTCCCGCGGAATCAGATTGCAACGAGCGGCGCCGTTCTGCCAACCGGCTGCTCAAGCAAAGCCTACGCAAGAATCGCGAGACATGGTGGTCTGAGTGTGCTTTAGAGATGGAGACCGCTGTCCTCTCTGGCAACACTCGCAGGCTTTTCTAACTCATTCGGTCCATTGGCCTCAGGAAGCCTGGTGTCAGTGAGGTCATTTGCGCGGTGGATGAGTCTCCGATTACCAAGCAACAGAGGAGTATGGACGGCTGGGCCGAGCACTTTCACTCGCAGTTCAAATGGCCTCCACCATCCATCAATACATGCAGTACACCTTGTTATCCACCCTGGCTCGTCCCCCTGAATCCACCCAGCGAAGCGGAAGTCTGCCTCGAAATTCGATGCTTGAAGCGGTTCAAAGCTACCGGCTCAGACGGACTTCCTCCGGAGCTATTCAACTACGGCGGTGTGGCGATCATTAACCAGCTGACTGTGCTGTTCGCAAAAATTTGGCATGAAAATAAAGTGCCTTCCTCTTGGAGCGAATCAGTTGTCCCGATTTTCAAGAAAGGCGCTCGCACTTCATGTGCAAATCATCGCGGGATTAGTCTTATTTCGGTTGCCTCTAAGCTGCTGACATCCATTCTGCTTCGTAGACTATCCCCAGTATGTGAATCATACTACCGTGAAGAACAAGCTGGTTTCCGTCCTGGCCGAGGATGCGTGGATCAAATCTTCACGCTCCGCCAGCTCCTCGAACATCGCCACATTTATCACAGGCCCACCATCGTTGCATTACTAGACATACGTGCCGCTTTTGACTCCGTTGATCGACCTACTTTATGGCGTTGCTTGCTAAAGAACGGGATGCCAGAGAAATATACCGTCACCTTACGAGCACTTTACCTTCATACATCCGGCAGAGGGAGGGTCTATGGCAAGCTCGCCTTGCAATTCGCTGTCAATAGCGGTGTGCGACAGGACTGCCCTATGTCCCCATTCCTCTTCAACTTCGCAATCGAAGACGTTCTGTCGAATGCTCTAGAAGGATTTTTTCAACATTTTGGCCTAGAGCTTCTACCGGGTGAGCGCGCGACTGACTTAGATTATGCTGATGATATCGTCTTACTTGGTGACGATCCACAGGATATGCAACTCATTCTGGATCGTTTGGCGGCTGAAGCATCCAAGTATGGCAAGAGTTTCGCCCCAAAAATATAAATCCGTACGGTTTATCTTCCTAGAGTATTCGAATGCCTTTGGAAGACTGGATAGGTCGATGTTGATAAACCTGCTATCCAAAAATGGAGTTCACCCTGGTGTGCCTAATCTGTTACTCACTTCACCAAGTTGAATGGTAAGTAATCCTCTGTCCTCCGTGCAGACTGTGTTCTACAGGGAGCGACCCTATCACCCTTTCTATTTTCCTTGTATGTTGAATATCTCCCTATATGAACCATGTTTATAGAGTGCGAATATGCTGATGATGTGTTCTCCACTAACCAGGATTTCTCATCACTTCAACGTGGGTTGGTAGATCTGGTGGAATGGTCTTCATCCAGATCTCTTATGCAGTATTTTCATTTCTACGTGGCAATAAGTTGCAGTCCCTCATGGCTTTCTCCCCCAGTTACTGTGAATGCAAATCCCAATACCCAGCTCCTCTACCGTCATCTCGGCGTTTTTTGTCCCAGAACCTTTCTTGGTCCGCGCACGTCTGTAAAACTTTTCAAGAAGTCAGAAAGCTTTCTTTTTATGTCCTCAGATTTACAGTGGGTTCAGTATTGCGTAATTTATTATTCAGGTTTGTGACCACTTGTATTATTCCCCATTGGTTATACTGCTATTCTGTCATTTTCTCTGGACTGCTTCAGAAAGACTACATCTTAATGGTATGATCTATAAAGCAAATCTCTATATGCAGCGGCTTGTCTTAAGATTATTTAGTTGATTCGATCATTTCTAGACATCTTGGTGCTTGCAATGATTTTACTCCTAAGATATTAACTAATCGATTTCATCCACTTCACAATGATCTTTCCAAAACATTCTCTCTTCTACACGTTCGAAATCCAGAATTTTATTCTCCCGCAGGTCATCGTATCATAATACGGTTTTGTCCTCTCACGTTTGCTTGTTGACACAGCAAAAGTCACTAACATGCTGCGCGAGCGCTTGTTGGAGTAACCGTTCTGCAATTTTCCCACTTTTCTACCCAAGCATGTATATTGATATTAGCATCCAGGTGCGCGCAGTGATGGTTTAAATGCTGAAAATGAACCCAATAGGATTCATAAAGCTTATTTTCACTTGACTTGAAGTTTGATCCGTGTAGGGCTCAATGATCCATTCGTTAGGCGCTTCTCCTAATAAAATGAATCCATCGCATCTCGGTCCGCGTAGGGGTGGGCGTCCTCGCGGTATACTCAGCCCTCGCGCGACTGGTGGTGGTCGCGCGGCAGCGAAGCGCCGTTACGGCGTACAGATGACACATTATTATTTATTATTATTTACCGCATCTCGGATTATAGTTGTTCAGCTGAGCTGAACTGGGAAACACCGCTGTAGTATATCATATCGGTGAGCGTGTAGATGGACGGTAAAGTTTTTGAACCAAATAGACTCTAGAGACAGACAAATTAACTCGGTTCACATTAAAGCCTTAAATGGAATTGACAAGTGACACATATACCGGACTGATCGGCTAAATCAGCGCGGTGACCATGCGTGATGTGAATTAGTGAGGTCTGAGAAAACCTACCTTGAGGTCAAATGTAGTGTGTCAATCGCAGTCTCCAGGTGAGGCCTGGTTGATGGAACTGGCCATGAATCGTGAATACCAAAACGGTACACCGTTGAGTTTATTGCCTGGCGGACGGGCAGGCACTGTACCATGGGGCCAAACGCTCCACTTGGTGTGAAGTGCATTCTAGCACGAGTTATACGGAATCGGCTGACATCGCGACCTAACTTCAGCAGATGGCAACACATGTAGTAGGTGGGGGGGTCACTCGATGTCTGATAATACAACAATGAGATTACTGCGCAGTCATCAATCGAGCGCCTTGAGGTAAAACCGACATGGAGGGTATCACATGTGTCGGAGTAGTTGGAACAGTGATTCGAACAAGTGCAGGCAAGTTTTGCTTGTGCAGTTTATAAATTCCCATAGGTCAAAAAAGCTAGTTTTCGCAGCGGGATTTCGCTAACATGCACAGGGATTGACAAGAGAGAAAAAACATAGACGATAGTGTGCCGTGGAATTTGTTTTCCGTAGCTGATGTGAAGCGTATGAGAGCTACGCTGTCATCCAGTCTCGCATGTAAAGGACACAAGCAGCCTTCCAGACATCAATGGTGCGAGCACGTATTAATAGGGAAGTATGAAAAAAGATTCCGGGACACATACTAATACAATATGATTCAGTGAAGTAGGGTTGGGTACTTTCAGCTGGAGAAGACAACAATTCTTTGAGCTCCATATAATCGAGGGCATGTTGAGTCGAAAAAAGCCACTTGGTAGCCAGCAAGAGTTGAAACCAGCCATATGGATACTGGTTCGCAGATAATTGCCTGATAGTTACTGGAATCCAAGGTCAATGCTAACGAATGAAATTCAGCAGCACGATCGACCAAGAGGGATTTTCGATGTCTACGTTATAGACGTGAAACAACAGAGTCCGATCGATGGTAATATATGGAAACAGTACTTTAGCTTCCACACTGACCCGAATAGTGGTCCGCTTGCCCAGAAAACAGTGAACCAATATTGTCGAGTCAACAGGAACACGAATCTTTTGTGAGATGCCTTGTTTCCAGGATGCAGCAAGTAAGCCGCAGTTCAGTAAATGCAACTGAAAAATATCATCCCTCAAAGTGTGGTTACTTCCCTTGAAGTCAAGGCATAGAAAATCGTGATAATGTTGGCATATTCTTAAGGAAAAATTAACGAGTGTACAGGTGGTAACGAGTGAATGTAGTTCAGAAATGATCCAGCTCTCCACGACAGAAGAACCCAGTGACCAATCCGGCAACCGATGAGTCGATAGAAAAACGACAAGGTGTAACAATTTTATTGCACGATACATGAGGCGGCTGAGCTAGGTTGGTTGAAGGCCGACTATAAGCGAGGACAGACGAGCGGCTCTTCCTACGTGTGTGTGCGTGTGCAAAAGATTGTCATAAGAAAAAGACTGATCAGTCAGTCAAAGATTATTGCTAAACAGTGCTGAGCTGCTGCTCCAGGAGCACAATAAGAGCGTGCGGAGAGAAAGTGGTTGGAAGAAGAGGAAGTACCTAGACACGTTCCTGTTCCAAATGAGCAGATACGAGGAGCAAAAATTGAGGAGGAATCAGGACTATAGTTAAAGCCATGTTTTGTACACGATGGAGAGTGAAACGAATGGAAATCCAACGTCAAAAAGCACATAAAAAGAAAGGAAAATAAACGAAAAACCAGTGTTCACGTGGCGGTAAACTGAGGCAAGAAATCACCGGCCATTCGAAGTGCTTTTCTCATAGCCGGGGCGCTGTCCGTACAAAGGATGGGCTGCAGGTCTGAAAAAGAGGCCCGGATGGGAAGGGGGGGATGAGGAATGAGTGAAAAGGCGTGGCGCCGAAGCAATGCGCAATTACGTGACTTAAGGATGTGTGAATAAGGAAAACACAGACAACCTATCCGTACTTGGGCGTGGATATTAGCTGAAGGGGTGGCTAAATGTGTAAAAGTTATCAGTAGCATATCAGTTCTCCGGACTGACCCAGGCGCACTCTCGCGCTACGAATGGAAGTCCGTGGACAACAGGAAGTGACTATATCGTAGTAGACCGCGCGTGTTATGAGTGCTCAAACAAGGTTTCTGAGCCTGGTTTGTCCAATCACCCGAGGCAAGGCACAGAAGATCGAACGGGTCCAAGAAGTCGCTACCCAACTCATTCCGAATTTATGGAAAGTGTCAAACGCAGACCGGTGTGAGAAATGAAGACTCTACGCCTTGTCATATCGTTGGGTGTGAGCCGATCTCATCGTGACCTACCGCATTGTATATTTCGGTGGCACCCACATGTTGAGGCCGCTGCTTCATTTGCGAATGCCATGCAGCACATGTGGACACCGGTGCAAGCTTGAGGTGCCAGATACAAAGCGAATTCCACACACCGCCTGTGCTTTGAACGAAGTGTGGTAAATGTGTGGAACAGTCTGTCAGAACAAGTTGTGGAGGCCAGATCTGTGCAGCAGTTCAAAATGTTGCTGGATTTACATTTCACCCCCATTCGATTCAAGAAACGAAGGCATACTGAAAATGACATGGCACATTTGTGAGTCCAGTCAGAGTTTTAAAATTTTACGTAGAAACTCGAATAACGAGAGTAGCATCAACAGGTGACATATACTTTGCCACTTGCTCCTGCAATCAGCTACCATGTAAGTGCCAGGGTGCTGTCCGAACATCTAAATCAAGGTACGAGTGGGGTGGGCGAACCCAGAGAGTAGGGTTCGCAAGCCAAGTAGGCTTCAGTCATTGTAGCACGGAAAATCACAAATGGGCAAACGTGAATCAAAAATTTGCAGGTCAAAGCCGAACTGAAGGCAGTGAGTGGGTGGGTCAAAACATGATTCTCGCGAATTTTGTTTCGCGCGGCAGTTTACTCAGTGAAAACAGCTTGTAGTAGCAGCGTGGTGTGTACAGCACAAATAAGTAACACAGCGCACAATCAGGTAAAGGTCATTCAACCGCCGTGACACCACACTGGTCGATTGGATGCAAGATTTGAAACTGATAAGATGGCGTTTATGGTTTCCTCAATAGGTAGGTACGTAGACAAAGGCTTGACAGGCCAAGAATGGGACCAAGTGAGCAATGTGACAGCTTTGGTCTCAACTACCCAGAGAGAAAAAGAAAAAGGTCCAGAATGCATTTGTTGCAAAATAGATTGTGGTCCAGACTGTTGTATATCGCATACAAACACACACGATGGGTGTCTTAGGATTTAACAATGGAACTGCGGATGATAATGACTATACTCACATGCGAAAAATCCCTGGATGAACGATTGCAAGAGGCCCAGAAAAATATAACACCTACGTTTTCAAACGTTGGCTTTCGCCTCAACCATCAACCAAAGCGTTAATACATGAATCGTATGCTCCAATATGCACACCGTCCATGTAAGGGCATGGTTATTGTGTACGTATTGATCTGCGCCACTACAGACAGTTTCTTGGATCATGAGGAATATATGTTTTGCTTTCATTATTATTCCCATTATTATAAACGTACACTCACGCGATAGTTAGGCGAGCCATGTCAAGCTCTGCATGAGACAACTTCTCATCCACCTCATCGATTGTAGGTAAGCCAGGTGGAGATGAGGTGGATATACTACGTTGCGTGCGTCTCGACAGAGTCCAAACCAAAGGAGGAGAATGGCTCAGAAGGTTCGCAGAATGACCGGCTACGCTGTGCAGAGTGTTTGTGGACCCGAGCGCTTCGAGTAAGACGGCTTTGCAGGCTTCAACATCACTCCAGGCGAGCTAGAAGAATAAGAAATCGGATGTATGTTGGCAATGGTCGAGGAGAATGCCCGGTACATAGCTTTGAGATGAGATACAGAGGCAGCAATGACGGTGATTTCAAGTAGGGTGGAAGAACACGACGTCAATATATCCAATGTAAACTTGGAGAAGAGTGGAACGAAACCGACGGCTGCGTGAGTGCTTAATTAGGTGACAAAAAGCAAGTAGATGAGGAAGGCATCAGCAGTACACCGGTACACTGTAAAGATGCTTCACTGCCGCGCAACCACCACCAGTTGCGCGTGGGCTTGGGATACTGCGATGGTCCCCCGGTCCCTACGCAGGCTCGGATCCGCGACCTCGGATTACAAGGCAGACTTTCTTTTATTCATCGCTCTAAATTTCTTTTAACATCACTAGAATGTATGAATGTTTTCTGGGGCATCCGCCAAATAAGCAACAATTTTTTTCCCGTCAATAGTTCCAGGTCGTAAGGAAATTTAGGTTCAACTAGCTATTTTGCTTCCATTGGATTTCTGTTTGCGTTAAATCTGAATTCAGCTCGAAAAATATTCTGAGCAATTCGACGAAGCAATATACAATTGGACTAGAAAGGTGAAGAATAAGGGGAAATTATCCCTTTGAGCCATTAGCAAAACGAAAAATACCCCTGAGTCTACTCAGAACACACAGAGACTATATTATTGCGTTTGCGTACAAGTGAGCGCTCCCGGATTGGGAAGGTGCTCTGTCTGCCGAGAAGGATACTAGTTCCTTTGTATATCCATTTGACTGATTAGGAAGTAAATTAATAAAAACGATGAGAAATTTGTTTAACCGATGACGGCCTGAGATTGTTGACTGCTCCCAGCGTGTGCATTTAAGTCAAGTATGACTGCAGATTTGTTTGCCTCCAAATTGGATCACCAAAAAGTGATGCAATAGCGCATGAACATGTGAGGTTCATATAGAGAGTTTTGGCAAGGTCGGAATTCACATAAGTGCGGAACACGCACAAAAAGGTGTATGTGAGGCGGAGATGATGTGCGCATGAGAGTAGAAAACGAAAAAATGTGTGATAACTTACTCTGCACACATGAGCCAAGGTGAACAGATCACACAGCCTAAATTGAGGAGTTCCGTCGGCGCCGACCTCCGAAGCACCATCCACGAACATGGAGGGGGAGCAGTACAAACTGAGCAAGGCCAAGGAAATGCATGATGGGCGAAAACGAGTCGTTTCTGAGTGCACCAAGGCCAATTCCAGCTGTCTAGAGATAAAGGTTGAAAGACTCCAGGGTTTGTTTGGTTGGGGGGCAATTTCGGTCGAAGCATGGGCAGACAGAGTGGTTTCATAAAGATGGATGAAGGTTTCCAGGAAATCGGCTGCAGTGGCTTGACAAGCTCCGATCTTAGCGACAGTAGCAGGAGTAAGTTTCGAAAGAAGTATTTCCACCATGCGCGTCAAATCAGCAGAGGTGCCTCCGCATCGCGACAGCATCACCAAACTGTCCACTGTGGGGAGTAGCACGTCCTAGAAATGGAGAAACAGCAGTGTTGAGTAAACAAGGAGTACCGGGCTAGACGCAGCGCAGTTGTCTAAAATGTGTTGAAAAAGCTAGTACAGTAAAGGTCATTGAAATAGGTTGGGCCACCAAAGCGTACTAGATAGAGGGTAAAGTGAACTGAATACGAGGGTATGTCTAAGAATAATAATATGTGTCAGCTGTACGCCGTAACGGTGCATCGCTGCCGTGCGAACACCACCAGTCGCACACGGGCTGAGTATACGGCGAGGACGCCCACCCCTACGCGGATTTGAACCCGCGCCGCAAGATTAGGAGACAACCTCGTTACCTAGGCTACGGGCCGAGAAGTATATGTCTAGTCCGATTACAATTCATAAGGCGACTTAAACCCAAGAGAATGTAGGTGGTTTGGACGTATTGGGAAAGTTGACTGGTAGGAAATACATAAGGAGTGTGGGTCAAAGTAAGATGGCACAAATGCCGTGTCCTAAGGAAGTATGCGATTTAAATGTTACTGTGTTGGAAAAGGCTTCAGCTCACCTTGTATCCACACTTACAATGGGGACATAGATTAGCGCAGCTTGAAACGAATATTTAGGAGCTAAGCAGGTGGAACCAATGAGAGCGCCTACATGATTCGCGGAAATCCTAAAAGCCAAGAACACTCGCTAAGGTCATTTATCATTGTTATGTAATTCCAGTCAATTTCTCCGTATGTTTCTGCCCCCTTAGTGAAGTCGCCGTCTTCCGAGTGGGCATTGGTCGAACGAGGATGTCACTAGCAGCGGAAGTAGAAAGTGCGATGTAGGAGGCAGAAAGTGTGCGATAGAGAAAATGAGCCGATGAGGCAGAACTTAGTACATACCGACGTCACCAGAATGTACCAACTTTTCAGATGCATAGCAAAGTAGTCCATCGGAGTCGCAGCGCAGTGAACCCCGCAGCCAAGATTTTTGAGGAAAATGAGGTAGAACGCAGAGAGAGTACAAACATAAGCTTTATACACCCGTGTGGGAGCAGTTTCAGCAAAGAAAGGTCAAGCGGGTAAAGCAGATCGGAATGGAATGGACTGGCAGATGGAAGAAACTAGATGCAGGAGCACCCCTGAATCCGCAACTGCACCATCTCCGACAGAGTTCAATTCTTGGGTGACTCCTCTTGGGTACTTATCCACTGCACGCAGCATCCTGACCAAGTTTTTCGGGCAATTTTCTCCTGCCTTTAGACCACATTTAGTTGATTCGATCAACCCAGTGCAGCGACAATGTTTAGTGCACGGCGAGGGTGCTAGTCAGCCAACATACTAACGTGAGTGGTGCAACTGGAACCGATGCAGACACTTACACAAATATTCGATGAGCAATCATCACTTTTCAATATTCGCTACCAGTGTCTTAAACCTGGGAGATGTGACGCAGACGATTTCATCACTTATGCCGGTGTGGTTAATCAGGAATGCAAACGCTTCAAGCTACGCTCTCTCAGACTACCGGTTTAAGTGCCTTGTGTTCATATGCAGCCTTCAATCGCCAAAGGATGCCGATATACGCACGCAACTTTTGAGCAAAGTTGAGCAGGATCCCCAGATGACGTTACAAACTGTCACTACTGAATGCCAGCGCCTCATAAATCTGAAACACGATATGACCATGATCCAGAATCCTGACCGCCCTCACATCTTCATTCACTCCGTGGAGGCTTCCAAACGTCCTGTCAACACCAGTCACCCACCCATTCCGCCATTAAGAAGACACCCCCATCTCGGTGTTGGCACTGCGGTGAATGGCACTTCGTTCGCTTTTGCAGGCTCAGGCGCCACCGATTTCAGCGGTGTGATAAAGTTGGCCACAAAGGGATTTTGTCAGACCCGGGCCAGTTTCAAGCAGCCCGTGAAACTGAAGCAGTAATCAAAATGTTCTACTAGTCATTCATTACCGTAGCCTTCTAGTTACATTCAGATTGGATGTCACTTCTCGCCGGAAATTTGTATCTGTAAAATATCAACGGTAATATCGCCAACCTTCAACTAGATACTGCATCCGGTATCCCGATAATTTCTAAGGAGCTGTGGAGTTCCATAGGTAGCCCACCTTTTCAAGCTACCTCTCAGGAAGCAACTAGCGCCTGTGGTGGTTCAGTTCGCCTTACCGGCCAGCATTCTTGCTCTGTCACTTACGGTGACACTACAATCAGTGATGTTTGTTATAGTTCAGACTCCAATCTCAATCTCCTTGGTCTGGATTGGATTGACAAGCAGGATCTTGAAGCACCCCCACTAAATGCTATCTGCCGCCGACTCCAAGCTTCATCGGCAAAGTCCATAGTCCACGATTTCTCCACGGTCTTTCGCGAGGGTATTGGCTGTTCCACACAGACTCAAGCCACTCGCCGGTTAAAGCCTGGTTGTGTTCCGTCGTTCCGACCAAAGCGACAAGTACCTTATGATACGCTCCTGTTGGTAGATCAGGAACTACGCCGTCTCGAAGAATTGGTCGTTCTATCACCCGTGTCTTATTCTCCATGGGCAACGCCAATTGTGGTTGTCAAAAAGGCAAATGGTTCAGTTTGCATATGTGCTAACTTTTCCACCGGATTAAATGCTTCCTGGGAAAACCAATGTCATTCACTACCGTTTCCTGAGGATATCTCCCCCATGCTTAACGGAGGAACTTGTTTCGCTAAGCTAGATTTAGCTGACGCTTATTTGCAAGTCGAAGTATCCCCGGAGTCTCAAGAGCTACTAACCATAAACACGTACCGCGGTTGGTTTCAGTACAACTGTCTACCTCTCGGCGTCAAGTCCGCTCATGCTAATATTCAACAAATAATGGATTACATGATCTCTGGTGTAACCGGCGCGGCAGCGTACCTGGATGACCTAATTATAATAGGTCACACCACTGACGAGCTGCACGGAAGGATATCTGAGATGTTACGTCGAATTGAAGAATACGGGTCCCGGCCGCAATCTGACAAATGTCAGTCCTTTCTCACAGAAATCAAATACCTCGGTTTCATCATCGACAAAATTGGACGCCGTCCTGACCCTGGAAATGTGCGTATAATCCGGGAAATGCCCGCTCGAAAGGATGTGTCATCCCTAGGGTGGTTCCTCGGCACGTTCTTAACCGCCCTCCACAATGCTAGAGCACCACTGAATAAATTGCTTAAAAAGGACAGCATTTGGTCGTGATCTCCAGAATGTGCATGCGCATTCAACCACCTAAAAGCAATGTTAGGTTCCGACCTCTTCGACACATTTTGATCCCAAGCTACCAATCGTAGTCGCTACAGACGCCTCCAGCTACGGCGTCGGTGCCGTCATCTCTTATGTATTTCCAGATGGATCGGAGAAGGCGACCATGCATGCTTCTCGAATCCTTACGCCAGCCGAAAAGAAATATGCTCAAATAGAAAATGGGGCTTTGGAACTAGTGTTTGCCGTGAGAAAGTTCGATAAGATGGTCTATGGTCGCCACTTCAGCTTGCTAACCGATCATAAGCCGTTTCTCGCTATTTTCGGCTCTAAGAAAGGTATCCCGACATATTCTGCCAACAGATTGCAGCGTTGGGCAACCTTTCTATTGAACTATTATTCTGACATGTTACCGACGAAAACAAGATTTCGGTCAGGCCGACGCCTTGTCCCGGTTAATCAATGCAAATCGACAGGAGCAGGAAGATACCATTATCGCAGCAGTCTCCATGGAATCGGATGTTCGTTCGCACCTAGCTGACGCTGTTCGTGTGATTCCTCTCCGTGACATCAAAAGAGAAGCGAGCATCGATCCTGTCCTTCAGGAAGTAATTAATTATGTCTGCAACCGATGGCCCACGAGAGCACCAACTAGAGACCTACGTCAGCTTTATCATTGTCGAGCAAGAATGTCCATACTTGATTTCTGCTTAATGTTCGCAGATCGCATTGTCATCCCCTCTTCGCTTCGGCCGATCGTCTTACGTCAATTTCACACGTGCAATCCTAGTGCAGGACGAATGAAAGCCATCGTCCGAAGGTAAGTCTATTGCCTGCGTATCGACCAGCAAATAGAGACGTTGGTTCAGCAATGTACCCGCTTCCGACAAGAACTCTCCGAGTGTCACCCCACAACCGTGGACCCAATCTGATAAGTCGTGGTCCCGCCTGCACGTCGATTTTGCTGTCGCAACCAACGGCATTATGTATCTCATCGTAATCGACGCAACGTCCAAATGGCCTGAAATCATTCTCACATGCAACAACATCGTCCACCATCTCTGCACTTCGCAAAATTTCCAGTCAGCATGGATTTCCAGATAACTTGGTTTCAGATAACGTAACATCGGCAATTTTCGAGGATTACTGTCGTTGGAGTGTCAGTAACTACCTTCGTACTCCACCGCAACATCCACAATCAAACGGTCAGGTGCAACTGTACTCGGACATTTTTAAACGGCCTCTCTTGAAAATGCGAGAGGAGGGAACTATTGATGACAACATTTAGGATTTCCCCATGCTTTACAGGAACACTCCAAATCCAGCAACACCAAAAGAATCCACCCTTGCTGAATGCCTTATGGGTAGGAAACCATGCACCATCTTCGATGCAATGTTGCTGTCGGAGAAATCATCACCTGCCCCAGTGCAACCATCGGGGAAAACAATCTCAATTTATGAGTTAGTCTACGCTCGTGATTATAGGCAAGGTCATCCAACATGGGTCCCAGCAGTGGTAGCTGGTCGCCGTGGTTCTAGTGTATGAAGTAACGGTTAGATTGCACAAGTGGGTACCACACAAAAATCAACTTAGCCCAAGCCGTGACGACTGCACAGCCACTGAGGAAGAATTGCCATTCGAAATACTGTTAGACACGTCTGGGCTATTCCTAACCCAGTGACAGAGGCACCAAATGAACAGCCCAACGGATCTCCTTGCAACCCAGATGGACCGACCGGAAGTGCCGTCCAACAGTCATTATAACTGGATACCCGGCGTCCTAGATACGAATTTTCTTGAGAGGGGAA